TGTAGGGAACAGAACAAAACAGCAAAATTATTTCAAAAACTATATATGAACATGTAAAGAAAATTCAATACAATTATGGCTAAACATATCTCAACGTCTCCCCATGGCCATCTTTCTCCTTATAAACATGCATTCTTAACAGTTAAATTCAAACAGCATCATGTTATGTTCATGAAGATATCTGGATATTTGTCCAGTAGAGAAAGTGATCTGTATGTGATACGCACTCGATACAGAATAGTTCAGGGCTAAACTATAAATACTGTACATTAAAAATAAATAAACTAATTAATAAATCTAGTTGGTTTCGAATCTGAGCATATAGAAACTAGAGGTTGAGTAAGAAGGGCACCAAGCTTTGTTAATACTGTGTGACACTTTCAAACCTGAGAATTATTTTGAGAAAATGGCTTCAGACCTAAGCAATTAGTCAAAATGAAGCATGCAAAGGCTTGTTTAAATACAGTTGTGCATTTACATATAAATGACCGCGACTGGTATTGAAACAGATTACTCAATTCAAACTGCTCCAAAGTCTTTGCCCTTTCCTCCAGAAAATCCTTTGCACAATGCTTTTCTAATTTTCTATCTCCCTCATAATATTCTATAAATATGTACCAAACATCTTAAAAATAAAGAGCTATTGTAAAGAGTAACCTATTATTCTTCTGAGAATGCAAATAGCCTTTAAAATATGAGAACTCAAGCGTAAAGGTCCCAGAACCCTGGATCGAGATGATGATGATGATGGATGAGCCCTTTACCTAAAGAAGGATTCTGCATTGTCATGAAGTCTTGGTGTCAGCTTGAGAGAAGGATAATCAATAGCCAGTGGCTTCACACTAAACAAGGCCATTGCCAGTGCAACAAAGAGGACAGGCAGCAGCACATTTGACAGACTTCCTCTCCAGTCTCGCCTAGTGTGGTGAAACCTCTTCATCAAAAGGGCAACAATCTGTGCGAGAACAAGACGGGCTCCATGCACACTTGAGGCCCCCGTAAGTGAGGTATCTGAGTGAGACAAAAAAAAAAAAAACCTCTTGACAAACACAGAAAATCAAATTAAATTTTCATGTGCTACATTTTCAAATATAGAACATAATAGTATTTTTGATAGAAAAAACAAAACTACATAAACCTACAATGTTCTCCTGGATGGAATACCATAATCCCCCCCAGTATGACTGATTAACTCTTCCTATAAGGGAAAACAGATGTTCAGCTAACACATTATTTCTATAGTTCCCCGTACACAGCTAAAGGAGTACTGAATACCATTTTCCCATGGTCCTCGCACTGGTACAACCATTCCTGTGCATTGCCACCTTTGCTCCTAGACAAATGACTATGACAAACATGGTCTGTATTAGCACTAAGGTCTTGACCTACCTTGACTGAAATCAGTGGCAACTTTTCCACGGAGATTTCAATGGGACATCTTCAGAATATGTAATAGAGCACCACAGATGCTAGAGACGTGGATTGTCATAAAAGCATTCCTTTCATTTCTCTGCTCATATGGGACTGATAAAATTTTCTAATGTGTTAGTCAATGCAGTTTTCATAATCCCAGCTCATGGGCTGTCCCTCACATTCCCATGGGAGTGTGCCCACAGCTTATTAACAACTCACCTGTCGAACATTTTTCTGACAGGCTCTCCCTGAATTTCATTTTATTGTTCTTTATTAGACACTTGTGAATCAACCAATCACTTTGCCTCCATTGTAGACCCTAATGCCCTCTAGGTATGTGCAGGCTATTACCAGCTTCTTTTACTTGTGGCCTTGCCAGGCTGAACGTACTTCAGTCTCTTTTCTTCCTTACAGCATAGCAGTGTCTGGTAGATTTACTACCACGGGTATTTGCACTGTAGCAAGACTGAATAACTTGTTCATCGTAGTGCTCAAAGACATAATATAGTTTATGATCCCTTGTGATTTTTATCTTACTACCTTCCTTTCTGTATATCGAGACCACTGTAAGCACCATTTCCATGTTATATTTTAAGAACTACTTGTATGGAAGCTTTCAAGTAACCTCAAATTAATTGTCCTTCACTTAGCACAGTTTTTTCTGGTTTACTAGAACTTTAATCCCAGAAGAGAGAGCTGTGGGACATATAGGGTTAAAAAAATAATCAGAAAAAGAAGTTGAACTTCTGACAGAGTGGCCATTGAGCAAAACAGTTCAAATTCTGCACTCTACAAAAACTGGAGTGTGAATTATAAAATTACAATTTCTTATATCAAAAATTATGTGTATTTTGCCATGAAAAACTATAATCAAGTAGACACATTGTGGGAAACTGTGGCTTTTAGGGTTTGGGCCTACACAAGAGGAGGAAGTCAGGTGAGACAGCACTTCATGGTGACACAGAATACCTTGTGTGGACTTCTCAAGGCTAAGACTTTTGGAAAAAGGTAAACATCACATCCACTTCCAAGAAGAGCAAAAAGGAGGATCCAGGTAAATACAGGCTAATCATCTTCAGTCCCTGGGAAGGTTACAGACCAAATCCTCCAGAAAACAACACACAGGATATGAAAAACAAGAAATGACTGGGAATAGGCAACATGGACTTGGAAATGTTGAACTGTGCCACCATGAATACAGGACTGGTTTGGTGAATGAAGGAAAAGCAGTGGATGCTGTTTACTTTGACTTAACAAATCCTGTGACACGGTCTCCCACAGTGTCCTTAGAGCAAATGGGGTGAGGAGGACTATAAGGACCGCTGGCCAGACTGCCAGGCACCACACTGCGGGCTGTGAGCAGCGGTACTGGGTCCAACTGAGGAGCAGTTGGTTACTAGGACTGTCCCTCAGGGGCAATGATGAGGAAACCACTGACTAACAGTACTTGTTAACACACACACGTGTGCACACCTGCACCTGGAGGAGATCTGCACTGTTTGGAGGCATCTGTGGGTGAGGCACTGGGGACGAGGAGAACCTCCTGGCAGCAGGAGCAGCTCTCCAGCAGCACCCAGGGACCCCAGTGGCACCAGGGACCAAAGTCTCTGCTCAAGGAAAGGAAAAGAAGGAACAGGCACCAGCTGGAACATGGGAAATTCTGACTTGATATAACAGGAAAAAAAATTTCACTGTGAGGGTGACAACCAAAATTCAAAATCAGACTGGACAAGGCACTGAGTAACCTGCTCTTACTTGACTCATTTGACGCACTCTTCCAAACTTAATATTCTCCGATTCTATCAGATTCCAATTAACCCTAAGTAATTAATTTTCATTTTATTTCTGGGAAAAAAAAAACTCCAGTATTTATTCTTTTAATTCCACAACCAAATGACATTTCTTTTTTCCCGAGAAAAGCCCATAGCACAGAAATTCTGTCTTTAGGCAGTTCTGATCACAGCCATATCTTGATAATTTGACAGCTAACACAAAAGGGACTTAGGACTTTGAATCTCTATGGAGAGAAAAAGTAGCTACAAAATTCAGATCCTGGTTCAGCATTCAAGTGCCCCAATCAAGAATGGTTATATTTTGGGCTTGGAACCTGTTTTTTCTATAAATTGGACTAGTAGGAGAAGACAATCTTAGTAAAAGAAGAATTTTTTTTTAAGGCAAACTTTTTATTAATGTATTAAGCTCTTTGAATTATTATGGTAAGGCTTTCAATAGTTGACTCAATACAGAAATTGAGACACTTGGAAGTAGAACAATTTTCAAGGGATGAGTGTTTTTAGAATAACACAGATCCTGGAAGTGTTTCCAACTGAGCATCCCTGAAATCATAAAATATACCGTCTCTCATTTATCAAAGTAGTGAAATGCCAGAAAAGGACCAAAGAATGAGATATTTGCCGTGGTCCCGGACCAGTTCATAGATTATAAGCATGACACATGAATGAAAGATGTTTCAAAATAGTTGCCCCTTTGAATCTCTGAAAGAGGACTGTGACAGCCACTTTCTGGGGGCAGAAAGAGAAATCGAAGCTGCCATTCATTCTATTTTCTTGACAAATGGAGCAGAGAGAAATGATAACAAATTAATTCAGATTGCAATGGGAAGAGAAACTGTCATCCTGAATAAAAATAATTGTCCATTTTGTCCAATATCCTGACTCTTACTCAATATTTCTAATGTTGGCCAGCCAAGATACATCACAAGAAGATGCAATAAACCATTATATTAAAAGTATATGCTTGCCTCAAGCACCACTTCTTTTTAAAATTATATGTCTTTCCTAAAAAAAGCATGTTTATTATTTAAAATTCTCATTGAGAAAGGTGTCAAATGTCTTTCTGAATCACCTTAAATTTCAGTCTTTGTCACCTTGAATTCTGTCATTCCTTTGCGTTTCAGGTAAAAAACAAAAATCTTGTTTATCTGTTTTGAATTTATTCTATTTGATGGTACTGGATATGCTTTTAAATCTTGCTTTAGGAGACAAGTTATAGAAGTTTCCAATCTATCTTCTGCATAAATAATCTCAACCTTTCAGTCTCCTCTTATAAAAATCTTTATAGTCCTAATCACCCTCACCACTTGCCTCAAGTCCCCTTATATTACCACTGCATCAGTCTCAAGATATATTGTGTTCAACACGGCTGTCTATCAGATGTGGAAACACTACTGATTTATACAGTAGCATTATGCATTGTTGTATTGATCTGCTTGTCTTTACGCATCACACCATTTTGTCTAACTGCAGCCATGCTGTGAAAAGTAGCCTGCATTGGTCTTTCCATAATTGACTCAATATGGCTTTCAAGATTCCCAAGGTATTAAATTACTCAAAAAAAAAAAAAAAAAGCTAAATACTATTTCTGTGTACACTTACCATTTGACTCTTCATGTTTCTTAATCCTACATGCATAGTCTAATTTTATTTTCTTTTTACTAGAACCTACAAAATTAATTTTTGCTTCATAAAGCTTGTAACTAATCCACCATCTACATTTGGTACGTATGTCAGGAGGCATAAAAGAAGCACACATTTATGGGAGAACAGTTTCTGATTACCAGTCATAAAGGCTAGAAGACAAGACCAGCTGACCTCTCTGTTATGAAGTCAATTTTTATGCAGAAAGCTTATGAAAATATTCTCATTAATAATTTAGATCACAAAATTAAAAATCTGACCCAAATGTTAGAAGCTGTCTTGCTTGACTTACAATTGCAATTAACCGCAAGAAGTGCAGTTATGTCCACAATTAAGTTGTACTTCCAATTCATGCAGACTCTCCTTTGTATCATGGAAAAGATTTTTGCTGCTTTCAATTCATATAGTTAATATCAGGTATAGGGAAACAGAGCATAAGTCCTAAAATTTGGGAACCACGATTTTGAAAATCCTTACCCATAGACTGCTCTAGAATTAGGAGCAGAACCAAATATTTTAAGAGTCTCTAACTGGATATCAGATGGTCTTTTTCTCCCCTTTTATGCATTCCTACAAAATAACATGATTCTAAACCTTTTTCATGGAACAATAAAATAAGGAAAAATGGGCTACACAATGGCTATGTTAATAGCCAGGAGCAGACATTTTCAATTCTGCCTCTGTCATTTTGGCATTTAGACAAGTCATTTAGCGGAGGTCCAAATTTTGGGAAGATAATCCTGGAACCGAAATACCCTGGCAAAACAGTTGAGCTATCTCACATAAAACTGGTTGCATTTGGAAGCAGTATATATTTACTAGCTTATCAGAAGTTCTGTGCCAATAAGTAGTTCTAGGCTGAGCTAGTGATCTGACATCGTTCTGCATTTCAGCATACGCCATACTGGCATAGAGTCAGTGCTAGCCCACCAATCTGTGCACAGCACTCCATTAGAAGGTATAAAAATGTCCTTCATCTTCTTACATATTTGTTTACTCATTATAAAAATAAATATAATATTGATTTTGTTTCCAGGAGGATTTTGAGGACTGGTTTTCACGTAGGGCATTTGAATAAAAGGCACTTTGACAATGTGAAGTATAAAGGGAATGCCTCTAGTCTGTGTCTCATACTATGATTGATTCTTGCTTATATGTAAT